CTGGGCGTAGTGGCACTTGCCTTTAATCCTGGCACTTGGGAGGCAGAGGCAGGCGGATCTCTGAGTTCAAGGCCAGCCTGGTTTACGTAGTGAGTTCCAGGAAAGCTGGGGCTACAAGGAGACCCTGTCTCAAAACTTTAAAAAAAAAAAAAAAAAAAAGCTGTTAAAGGGAAAACGAAAATGATACTATTTCATGGCAGCCTGAAAAATTTGTGATTGTTTCTTCAAAATGTCGAAAAGTCTCAATAGTTGGTAATATTTGGCTTTTTTTTCAGTATACTTTCTTTTTAAAGTGGCTATTACATTATTAACACATAATAGTAAAAGTTTTTTTAATAGATGTACAGTAATGGGCTATAAAATTTATGTTATTAATATACTAAGCTCATATGCATATATATATATTTAATTTTTTTTTGGTCTTTTTGAGATGGTCTCCCTGTAGCTCAAGCTGTCCTAGAACTCACTATGTAGACCAGGCTAGCCTTGAACTCACAGAGATCCACCTGCCTCTGCCTCCTGAGTGCTGGGATTAAAGGCGTGTGCCACCAAGCCCAGCTTGTATGAATATATATTAAGAGCCTCTTTAAAATATTTACCACAAGCTGGGCATTGTGACACATGCTTTTAATCCCAGCACTAGGGAGGCAGGGGCAGGCAGATCTCAGACCTCTGAGTTCCAGGCCAGCTGGAACTACTGGGAAACCCTGTTTTTAAAAAAAATATGGGCTGGAGAGATGGCTCAGTGGTTAAGAGCACTGACTGCTCTTTCAGAGGACCCTGGTTCGATTTCCAGCACTCACATGGTGGTTAACAACCATGAGTAGCTCCAGTTCCAGGGGATCTCATGCCTCCTTCTGACCTCTGCAGGCATTGCAAGACATGGGTGCACTTAAACACATGCAGGCAATACACTCACACATAAAAATAAGTACAATAATAAAAATATATGTACATATATTTACAACAGATGAAACTTGGGTACTGGCTTGTGAAACTTTGGCTTGGAGGATGTATTAAAAAAAGAAAGTGAAGTTCTCCATATTATGGAGACAATCAGAAAATGAGAGGTTCTCAATATTATTGGATATTCAGTAGATGTGTTATTTTGCTTATAAGGGCTTAGGAATAACTTTTCAGAGAAATAAGGAGAATGTTAAGATTTAGAGGCACTATAACTTTAGCATTAACATGTGTATTTGATTAGGGTTTTCCGTCTTGTCTAGGTTATAGGAATATTTCATCTTAACTCTGACAATTGCCACCTACACCTGGCAACCTTATAAACACAGAACTTTCATTACTGTCAATTAAAGCCAAATTCTTTTCAAACCAGATATTCTGTGGATATTTTCCAATATCTTTTGGGCCACCACCCTTGTATCCTAAAAGGTAACATTAGAGACAGTAGACTCATTGCTAGTATTATAAGGGATTTGCTGTGCCACCAATGTGTGGAGATTTGAGCTGGGACCTTTAAGAGTTACTTTGGGAGTTTGAGATATGGGAGATTTCCTAGAATTAAGAGAAGAAATGGTTATAACAGTGTATTCACTAATTCATATGTTTATTAAACATTTATTTTTATACAGTGATGACAGGTGAAGACCACTTTATATGAGGGAATTTGTCAAACATTAAAGAAGACAGTTACACAATAAAATTCAAATGACTGCTATTAACTCATATACCTGGCTTAATAGAGGTACCTAGAAATTCTGTGCTCTTGGCTTTCTAAATAAAGGAACTGTTTTACATGAATTTTGTTTATATTTTATTTATTATTTTTATTTTATGTGTATGAGTGTATTGTCTGCCTGTAGGTAAGTGCACCTGTGTTGTGCAATACCCACGGAGGACAAGAGGCTGTCAGATCCCCTGGAACTAGAGTTATGGATAGTTGTTAGCTGCCATGAGGGTGCTGGGATTCGAACCCAGGTCTTCTGCAAGAACAACCAGTGTTCTTAACCTCTGAGCCATCTCTCCAGCTCCTTACATGAATTTTTTTTTTTTTTAATTTTTGAGCTTTTGGAGACAGGGTCAATTGTAACTCAGGCTGGCCTCTGACTCACTTTGTAGTGGCGACTGGCTTTGAACTCCAGATCCTCCTACCCTAACCTTCCAAGTGCCAGGATTATAAGTGTGTGCCACCAGGCCACCATGACTGGGGAAAGTAATTTTAACATAATTCTGTATAAACTGGGCGTGGTGCTGCATACCTTTAATCTCAACACTAAGGAGGCAGATGCAAGTGAATCTCTGTGAGTTCAAGGCTAGCTTAGTCTACTTACCAAGTTCCAGGCCAGCCAGGCCTATATAGTAAAAGACTCTGTCATTTAAAAAACAAACAAAAAAACTGTATAGGAATTTTGTGTTTTAAGGTAAGCAGAAATTTAGTTATTTAAAGAATGCATTGGTTCATTGTGAATAATTTCTGATTGGTTAGGGAAATAATTTAGGTGTTACAGCTTTTGTAGCAAGGAAGAAAATTATTAATTTTAGTAATGAAAAGATGAAGTGCTAGGGCCGTAGTTCAACTGACAGAGTGCTTGCCTAGCATGCACAAAGTCCTGTGTCTTATCCCCAACATTGTATAAACAATGCATGGTGGTGCAATTCTGTAATCCCAGCATCCAGGAAGTAGAATCAGGATAAGAAGTTCAAGGTCATTCTCTGCTATCCAGTGAGTGTGAGGCCAGTATTGACTGCATTAAAGCCTATGTCAGAAAAAAAAAAGGAGGAATTAAAGACAGTAGTTAGTTGCATATTTTTTACCGTTGATAGGAAATATTTTAAAGACTATAAAAAAGAAAATGTAGCTGGAGCCTAGCATGGAGCCTTAGCAAGTTGAGGTAGGAGCTAGGCATCTTAGACTCAGTTTCAAAATAAAAAGGGCTGGGAATATACCTGAGCGTAAGAGCCTTTGCCTAGTATGTGTGATACCTGAGTTCAGTCCCCAGCACATCAAAAGAAAAGGTATAACCGGAAATGTTATATTGATATGAGAAACTCAACTTATTGTTGAATTAGAAATTGCAGCAAATTATTAAACATCTAAAATCCTATGACTTGTGCCCCAAAAGTATGATACTACATATGAAGACATCCAAACTTACATGAGAAATCATTAATAGTGTTTTGATTTTTATGGTCAACTCCTGTTCTAGGTGCTGGGGGTGCAGCAGTGAACAAAACAGACATAAATAAATAACCCTTTCTGCCTTGGAGATTATTTTCAGGAGGAATCAGACAAAAATCAAAGCAAATAAAAGTGTATTGGCAAGAAGTGTTATGGAAAATAATGAGGAAAGAGTAGGAAGATTTCCTCCTATGTTATTTTGAGTTAGTATAGGCCAGAAACAGGAATTTTAGACTTACATGACTTTGCTCCTAACCCTAAGTTCTTGGGTAAATTGCTTGCTGTTCCTCAGTTTTCACTATTTCTTCAGTTTTGTCAATTTTTTGTGTTGTTGGTTTTGGTGTTTGTTTTGTTGTGTTGTGTTGGTTTTGTTTTGTTCTGTTTTGTTTTGTTGTTCTGTTTTGTGAGTCAGTGTCTCCCTGAATCCCCAGGCTAGCTTGGAACTCAGAGATTCACTTGCCTCTACCTCCTGAGCGCTGGGATTAAAGGAGTGCAAGATCATTCCCCTCTAGGGCTGTATAGTGGGTCAAATTAATAGCTATTCTTGGTTCAGGGGCAGACGTGCTACTTTATGTGAGTATGTAACCTTGTCCCCATTGACACGTGAGCAAACCGGGGTTTCGATTAAGCAATTGAGTATAGCTTTTAGTTAGGACTGAGGCTAGTTTCAAAGTTATGTCTGTTATGTCTGAGTGGTGCTTGCCATTAACATTCCCTATGTATTGTCTCTTACTGCGCTGGTCTCTGTGGGTTTTTCTAGGCTGTGAATTTCATGTCATTTTAAGGGGCAGGGTAATCAGAAGCCTTCCTAGAACGTTTGCAGTCCTATGAGTTGAGCCAGTGAAGCCTGGCTAGCATCGGTTTGACTTCGGGCTCAGGATCGACTACGCGGCAGAGGAACGGGGAGGAGGCGGGGCAAGGGGACTGACTACCCATCC